GTACCGTACGTGTCACCGGTACTTATACCGGCTCCCCGTACGGTACGGGGACCAGTCTCGTACCAGTTCTCTGCTGCTGTACTTGTACTCAGTGTGACTTGCCGTTTCGGCATTGGGAATCCAAGACTTCGACTTTGTGCCTTGCCACTGTGTCTGCGTCCAACCCTCAGTCCGAGTCCGTCGTGTCGAGTGAGTGAGTGTGTGTGTGTGCTCTCACTCTCTCCCTCTCTCTCTCCTCTCCCTCGGCTCACCCTCAGCCTCACTCCTGTTACAGGTTAAGTCATTTTCGTGATGACCAATTTAGTTCTCTTTTGTATGTGTGTCCAATCTTTGCCATGTCTTACTTGCAGCTTACGACGAAGAGCAGGATGATCTTTATAGTGAGCCACCAAGGCCAAGCTCTCCCGTAACACAGGTAAGTAACATGGAGAGTTGGTCTCTAATGGGATGAATGCTGACCCCAGGTTCGTTACTCTGCTTACGGGTGTCAACAGGGTGTTGAATTGGAGGTTGAAATTTAGGGAAAGGGGAAGATTATCAAATCTGTGAAGTGGAAGAGGCAAGAGGTCCTCTGGCTGTTGTGTTGTGGGTGCTATCAATTTGTAAAACTTGGAGGATGGAAGTTCACGAGTTGCAGGGCTACCATTTTGTGAAACCATTAGCGATCTGAGTGATCTCTGCTGATTTCTGTAGGATTATCACGCAACAACGGGAGTTGAAGATTGGGGCTCAGGTTCTGGCAGTTAAACTGTGATTTAACTGCCATGCAATCAGACTCGTTCTCAAACACACTTTTCATGCATGTAAACAGCAACACAGCATACTGGCGACATGCGCCCACTCAAAACTCAGAGATATGGCTTTCAGACACGAGTTCACTCTCAAATGGCTATGGCGACTTCAGCGCCCAAACATCTCACTGTTCACATACACTGGATCACCCTGGATATCCCACACGCATCACTCTAACACTCGAGCACACACACACAGCCACTACTAACTACAGATATGGCAGCTATGGCTGCCTCTAACCTATCGCTATGCTAACTCTGCCTCTCTTGCCCACTGCGTCYTCCGGGCTCATCTGCAGACCTCCTTGCTGTGGCAGCGCTTCCGCATGGCTCACGCAGGAATGAATGAATGGCTGGGTGCGGCCTCTTGATTTATACTTCAGAAACTCGTTGGTCTGCCCTTTGCCATCGGCCCTTGGTGCTCATAGTCCCCCTGTGGTACTTGCTGGACCGGACTGGGACTGACTGGACCTTCCGCTGACTGACTGTGGATTCACCGCTATCCTACCGACGTTGTACTGCTGTTGCACTGCGGTTTAGTCCACCACTTGCCTCACCACTTGACCACTTGCCCACTTGCCTACCTTCTAGAAGGTCTACAGCTAAGCTTCCGGAACTCACTAAAACTCCTACGCTAAAGACCTACAGATCGAACCCCTGCTGCCTATTTACTTACGACAGGCCTACCAGCTGCCTACGAATACACAGGTCACAGGTTCAATTCCCATGGTCTACACAGATACTGTACATGGGTAGGGTGAGGTCTAGGGATCGAACCCTGGGTACTGCGTCCGCTACTGCTAAAAGGTGAAAACGGTTTCAGCCAGCAGAGTGGGTGTGTAATCTCTGAAGCATTGTTACAAGTTTGCATTCTTTACTATTTTCTTTTTGCTTAGCTAAGGAGTTATTGCAAGGATTTAGCCTTCACATTGGCCGCTCGTCGGCGGCATCCAGATGCCCAAGGGGCCTGTAGCAAGCAAAGTGCCCGCCGTAAGTGAGGGCGGGCGTGTATATCGATTTGGGGCCCTAATGTGGCCATTTCTGCATTGTCAGCACCAGACAGTTACTGCACGGCAGCTGGTTACACAGGACCTGCTGACGAGCATCAGAATCTTCGGAGGACTATCCAGGCTCTTCTAAGCTTAGACGTGGAAGCTGGCCCTCGGCACTGTCTCCTAGGCACTGTCTGGATGGGCCTGGGCACAGACACTTCGGCCCAACAAGAAGCTACTGGCTCCCGCTTACTGGGCCCAGCTTAGGCAGATGCAGGGCTCACTTTCCATAAAGGAAAGCGATCGCCCAGGCCAGAGGACATTCTGGCTTGGCTTCAGCGGGTGGCCACGATGCTGGACTGGAGCGATGGCAGGGCTGCCCCAGCGCTTGCAAGCCAGGGTGCGCGCGGGCGCTAGGAGGTGAGAGGGGCGCTGCAGTGGCAGTGGGTGCACAGCGGCCATAGCCGGACTGCTGGGCGCATGCTGGTTCGGCGATGATGGTGGGTCGTCGGGTGAAGAGGGTGCATGCTGTGGGATGAGAGGGGTGAGGAGACGATGAGAGGCACGTACCTGGCGTATGCTGGCAGTCTGCATTGGCGATGTCATCACATACATTTGTCCTGAGCTTGAAGTGACTCCTGTTGCATATGCGCGGTGTAGGCTTGTATACGCTGGGCGCTGAGCGCCAATCAAGAGGAGCGACATTGGATACCGACTCTCTCTCTCTCTCTCTCTCTCTCTCTCTCTCTCTCTCTCTCTCTCTCTCTCTCTCTTTATGTGCGTGGGCGTTTGTTGCCATGTTGGGGACGTGGAAGGCTTGGGCAAAATCAGGGGAGCAAATATCCCCTGCGCCTCGGCGGACGTTGTAGACTCCTAACGCCTGGGAGCGCAGCTTCGAGGGGCGCCCTTTTTGATTAGTTGTGTTACGGACTGCTAACACCTGAGAGACCACTGTAGATTGGAACTGTAGCAGTCTACGATTTCCAGGTCTAGAGAGGCCTTAGAGGCCCAGCAAGCAGAGAAAATCTGCTTACAATTAGAGATAACCCAGGGATGCTGCCGACAGAGCAAACAAGGCAAAATTGAGACAAGCTAGACTGGAGACTAGGGCGCAGGACAAGGCTGCATTAGGGTATGCTGAGCATGAACGAGTACAAGGACAGCAAATTGGATGACATCCAGTCAACCCTTGACCAGTTACTAAGTGCCATGCAGGGGAAGGGAAGACCAGTCCCATCCACAACAGGCGGGCGAAATGTCAGGGCACAAGCAGTCTTCCCAGCGCCGACTCCATATCCGGCGATGACAGGCCGTTTTGTCCGTCAGTTTCGTGTTCCACCAGGTGATACATCAGCAGCAAGTGCACATACTGCTGCTTCTTCATCAACCCTTTACCAGGTCATAAGTGCCATGCAGGGGAAGGGAAGACCAGTTCCATCCACAACAGGCGGGCCTAGTGTCAGGGCACAAGCAGTCTTCCCAGCGCCGACTCCAATCCGGCGATGACAGGCCCTTTCTTTCCGCAGTTTGGTGTCCAACCAGGTGATATGTCAGCAGCAAGTGCATATACTGCTGCTGCTTCATCTTCAGGTCCACCTGCTGCAGGTCCACCAGCTCCTGCAACTGCAAGGCAGCAGCCACTGTTGTCTCTTCCAGAAACCTTTTCAGGTGATAAGGAGGAGAACCTCAACACATGGTTGAGGACTATGCCAACATGGATATGGGCCAAGCGGACTTTGCCTGAAGAAGTGCTCGTTGCTGCGTCAAACCAGAGGTTAGACAGGAAGATGGTTGTATGCTTTAGGCCTGGACCCCAAAGGCGTGAGGAAAACCATATGGATTGGCCCGGAGGGTTTGTTTTGGACCCCAAAGGCGGTAGGGAGAAGCCTGGAAAACTTTGGGAGGACGTTTCCACATAGCGTCATGATGGGAAATTCCTCTGCGGCACTCAATTTTTGAAATATTGTGCCAAAAGAACATGGTAGCCCCCAGGCCCCCCTCTTGATTCAGCTATCCCGTGCGGAAAGGAGGCACAGGGATTGGATGTGCTGCTGAAAAAGAGGCGGCACAATTGCCTGAAAGGGCAAGTCTTTCTGATCTGGTAACCTAAACCCACGACGTGCTGAAATCTGCTGCGGGGGTGGAGGTCCTTTTCTCTTGCTCATTCCCGGCGGCTACGATTTGTGCTGGCGGATGCTTTCCAGGCGCAAAGCTACCTCGTGCCTCTGTGGTCCAAACCTTAGTTGCGACCTGTGGCTCCGGCAGGATGATGAACGATTGTTCAAAGGACCCAAACGTTAGACTCGCTTCTAAAGTTGGTAGAGGAGCGGTGACACAACCCTCGGGAGGCTCAGCAGGCCACTGATGTTGGCCGAACTTGAAACGATGGTCAGTGCAAAGTTCAATTATGAGGATCTGGGTCCTCGGCAGGCGTAATTGGGCGCCTGCTGCGAATGTGCCCGCCCTAAGTGAAGGCGGGCCTAACAAATCCCGAGAGGCCCTAATCTGTCAAATTCGGATTTGAGGTCCAGGCAGTTTCGTCGTGCCAGCTGGTTGAGGAAGACACAGGCCGAGCAACAAGGAAATTCCACGGCCTTCTAGGCTTTTCCGAAAGTGCAGGCCCTGGGCGAGATTCGCAGCGTCATACACAGACAGCTGGGAGGCCCAACTGAATGAGGCCCAGTAGCTGCACCAGAGGCGCAGCAGCCTGGGGCCTACCGGAAGCTTCTGGGCCCTGGCCCAGGCCCTCCAGGATGCGAAGGCATGCTGACTCTTTCCATATAGGAAAGAGCTCGCTGCCTGGAGGTCATTCAGGCACTCGCATGCTAGCGGCAGCGCTGCTGGAGCGGATGCTCGTGGGCTGCTGCTGGCGCGCTGAGAGGCGAGGTGCAAGCGCGTGCGGTCGTGCAGGGAGCATGGCGCTGCTGAGGGCAGTGACATAGCCCAGCCTCCATAGCTGTTTGAGGGCTTGGTTGTACAGTGAGGCGCAGGGGTGGTCTTCGGGTGTACATTGGGAAGACGTGGGGAGGAAGACGAGGGGGAGAGAGAGAGAGAGAGAGAGAGAGAGAGAGAGAAGGATGATGATGATGATGATGATGTGAGGGCACATACCTGGTATTGGCAATGGTCTGCATGGGTGACAACTTCAAGTACTTCGGAGGCTGATGACGTCAACAGTTGCATTGTCAATTAATAGGCTAGTAGTAGCTGTGTAGGGAGTAGGCTGGGCGCCGAGCGCCAAGTAGGGAGATAGGGACTGGATACATATTTTGGTGGTGGTGAGGGAAAGCTCTCATTGACATTGGTTTTCAGTGCTACGATTCTGCATTGGTGTCATATTGGTGCAATGCTGATTTATGAACAATGTGATACGATCTGGCTTTCAATGTGATTGTGCAATCTGATTATGGTCATCTCGCTATTGCTCATTTTCCTTGCACAAGATTGTCAGTGCCTTAACCACCCTTGTGGGGAAACATATCGTTGATCTGGGTGTGTGCTATGACCCACAAGTCCTACTAACCATATATCTGAGGCGTCTTCCCACATACATCAAGAACATGTTGGTCGACGAGGAGCACGATTTTGCGTCATTCGGCAAGGGGCTGCGCAACAAGTTGCTGTAGATGGGA